GAGAGAGAGAGAGAGGGAGGGGGGGGGGGACGAATGACCTACTTGGATCGGGATGTTGCCAAGAGCATATATGGGACAGAACGGAGATATCATGAACAATACAAACCGTGACAGACATGACGCCAGATGGCAGTACATTCTCTAACATATATGGACCCCGAAGGCGTTGTGTTCAGGCGGCAGGAAATGGTCAAGAGAGCGTGTCATATCTAGTAGCATGGTCTGCCTAGCAGCAGATGATGGGGTTCATCTGGCCATTCTATCTGCTGGGGTTTGACAGGCGAGGCGTAAAAGAAATGTTCTAAATGGTCAAATCCCCAGCGCCTCGAGATACATGACCGTATCAAGTTGAGGTGGATTTCGCTTTCGATTTCTTCCGACTATAGCTCGTCGCGGCCAATGTTAACCTTTATTCCTGGATAACTCTTGATTGAGATCTTTCTCGATGCCTTGATTCGGCCCTGGGTCTCGGTTTCAGGCACAGCAGTAGAACCACTGAGATACGTGACATCAGCAGCAACATCTCGAGGTATATCTAGTGAGTGTCGATGGAATCATGTCGAGATGGGATGGGACAGGATGGGATGGAGATGTCTCTAGCAGATCGAAAACATAATGGTCCTGGGATTACTTACGAAGGATTCCAAGGACGGACACGTCCCTGCCAAACATCGAGACCCCATTTCTGCAAGGCGTTCGCTGTAATCGGCTGCCCCTTGGGGTAGCGATAGATTCTGTCAGTCGATAGTTGGTGTACGGCGCCCGCTGGGAACGACCCAGGGTCAAGTCCCAATTTTTCTGGCAACTCAGGAAAATCGAGAGGGTCCACCGTCACCATGGTGAGGGAGTCATAGTAGCTACGAGCCATTTTTTTCAGGGTTTCCCTCAGCTCGGCTCGATCCCTCTCTGTAGCGGCAAAGACGTACACCATGGGCCAGCCACGCTGGACACCAACATTAGCAAGGTCGCTCATTATTCAGTCTTTGCTCTCTTGACATCTTCCCTCCTGGTCGAGATCGTCTTTCGCGGTCGGAGATACTCACATCAAGAAACCGTTGATGATTGCCGGGTAGTAGCTCGCCAATTATGGGGCGCTGCATCATGTCAGTCGCGCGATTTGTGAAACATATGGGTTTCGTTTCTTCACATACCGAGGCCTCCTTCACAAATGTTTCCAAGGATGCCGTATCAAAGGGGCCAGTGTGCGACTTCACATCGTTGTCAAGAGGCCGGTAACACTTGATCACGGGCATATCCTGGTCCAAGTCCTGGTGTTCCGACACGCCGAGGATACCAAACGTGAATTCCCGTGTATACTTGCGCGCTACTTCTTCCACGGCCAACCGGGAGGCGCCACCCCCCAAGGGGATACGGGCAATGAAGACCGTCTCATCTATATTTTCGAAAAAGTCCGCAGACTCTATTGAGAGCTCATTGACAGATGGTCGTAGCGCCCTGTCAATCCAGCTAGTAATACTATACATTAGAAGTCAGTTGCAACATCGTCGCTGGACCACCGAGGTTCAAGGCCCAACACTCACCCGGACGCTCTACGAGGACCTTGATAAGTCGCAATGCTGCTTTCTCCTTTGAAGAGCTGAATGCTAGACGATGACACGGGATCGCGTTTCTGGCAGGCCTCGATCTGAGACGAGCAATCAATGCTCAGGAAGGCGGTGGAGGACGAAGTTGATGCAGCCTCGAGCCATGCTGGTTCGAGAGCTTTCGACAAAGACCTGGAAGTAGATCGCATACATACTCAGTACAGGCGGCTGTGGCGTCTAATCCCCTCCTGGGAGGAGCTCTTACATTGCAGGCTGGCACAGACGATAAAGGTCAGTCAGCGAGAAGTAGATAAACACCACAATTGACCCCCTGAAAAGATACGCGTGCTATCCTTTCGACCTACATCAATGACTATGCGCGGTCAGCTATCCTCCTTTCCAAGTTGTTACGGGCACTGTTCATTATTGAACAAAACGTACAAGCTACTACGGCTGTGCCCTGGCCCGCCAGCTTCTTGTCCAACTCTGGTCCCGAAATGAACTCCCACGCCGTTGCAGTCTGACTTGACAAGGCAGACGCCCACAGCAGTGTCCATGCGCGGCCCAGCATGGTCGTTGTCAGTAATAGACTGCTCTCAGATAGAGGTGTAGCCAGGAAGGAGGTGGTATAAAGTCCTCTCAGATGGGGATGGCTCTGTTATTGCAATCCGTCATCTGGTCCTAAACAGTAGACGCGTTCACCTTCACGTGGATACACCTAGGTCCATGGACTG